TGTGTGTGTGTGTGTGTGTGTGTGTGTGTGTGTGTGTGTGTGCATTAAAAGTAAGTGTGTTTGTGTCCAGTGAAATGGAGAGAGTGGGATGACGAACGACACTGTGAGGAAGAGGAGGGAGAGAGAGAGAGAGGAGGAGAGGGGTGGGGGAGCTGATTAATGTGTCTTTGTAAGCCCCCCCCCCCCCCCCCCCCGCATTAATCGAGTTAGGAGGGGGGGAGAGGGGGAGGAGTCATTGTCTGTCCTCGGACACAAAGAGGAGACGTCAGCAGGTCGACATCGAACCGATCGTGCACAAACACATCTATAACAGGAAATAAACTGTGTGTGTGTGTTTGTGTGAGGTACAAAATGGTGGTCAGTGTTTTCAGATGAGCGGCTGCGTTGCCCCCGGTGACATCTGCCAGTCTGAACGGCTTTTGTTTGGGGGAGGGGCTACTGCTGCCCATCTACCAATCATAGCGAAGACACACGCCAACAACCTGCTGCTCTAAACACACACACCACCTTAAAGTTTCAGTCTCCTTTAAGACTTTACATCAAACCCTAACCTCGCCCGGAGCGGAGTGTCTCCTCCAGCCTCCTCATATTTATTCTGCAGTAAGTCAGAGTGAGCTGATGTGAGAACGCAGCAGAATATAATCAGGATCGCTGCATGACCATGGACTGTCTGCACGCCATCTCTACGATCTCCGTGCTCTAATGAACCTGCTGCATTATATATTATATTTCCTGTATAGCGTCGTGTAGAGGACTCCCCCCCCCCCCCCCCCCTTCTGTCAGACAGGGATAGTCTCCAGCTGTGAGGTGCATGTGTGAACAGATCAGGAGGATATCAGGAGCAGTCCTCCTGTGTCAGTGAAGGATCAGGGTGCCTGTTGTGAGACAGTGAGACTCTACTAAATAGACTGTGTATCAGTTCTCAGCAGATAAAGTTTTCTTGTTTGTGTTTTTTGTATTTGTGTACTTTTTTGTAGTCATAATTAGTAGTATTTGTAGTCCTGGATTTTCTTCTTCTTCTGTGGTTATTAGATGTGAACAACCAACAGAGAAGGAAGTCAACATTTCTTCTTCTCCTGCAGGTCACACACTTTTTCACCAAAACAGCACAAAGACTGTGTGTGTGTGTGTGTGGAGGGGGAGGGCGAGTTAAGTCGATGATTGAGATCATATTATATCCTAACACATACCTTCGACCACACAACGAGTGTTCACGTCTCACTTTCAGCTCTTTCTTTTCTTTTCTGTGTGTTTCTTGATCACACAGGGCATTACCCTGCCGCCCCTCCCCCTCCCCTTAAATCCCCCCGTCACACCTCTTATTAAAGCCCGTTTTGTCCCACGCCCTCCTCCCCCCGCCCTACTCTTGGTATTCAGCCCAGGTCAGCAGATTTCGGCCCTGCCCACCGTGGCTCCCCTTTTTAATTTGCACCTGTTGTGCAGTTGTCGAGAGGGGGGGGGGGGGGGTGCAGGGGTCTACAGCAGACAAAGATCATATTATGAGCAGATATGCAGATAATCTGTTAGCAGCCGAGGGGAAGAGAACCTTACAGAGAGGCTGAACTTTATTTCTGCTCTCTAACAACATGTGAAACATGAAGCAGAGACAAGACAGAGAAGCATCGCAGACAGTCAGGGGACAGAGACTCACAGAGACTCACAGAGAGTCAGAGGACAGAGACTCACATAGAGTCAGAGGACAAAAAGTCACAGAGACTCACAGAGAGTCAGAGGACAGAGAATCATAAAGACTCAGAGGACAGAGAGTCACAAAGAGTCAGAGGACAGAGAGTCATAGAGACTCACAGAGAGTCAGAGGACAGAAACTCACAGAGAGTCAGAGGACAGAGAGTCGGAACACAGATAGTCACAGACAGACAGAGGACAGAGACTCACACAGAGTCAGAGGACAGAGAGTCACAGACAATCAAAGGACAGAGACTCAAAGAGAGTCACAGACACTGAGAGGACAGAGAGTCACAGAGACTCAGAGGAAAGAGAGTCAGAGGACAGAGAGTCATAGAGAGTTAGAGGACAGAGTTGTAGAGAGTCCAAGGACAGAGACTCCCAAAGACTCAGAGGACAGAGAGTCACTTACAGGACAGAGTGTCATGAGTCACCTCCCTATATTCTATGTGATGTATTCACAAGATGCTTTGCATCGACCATGTATGGTTTCATGTGGGCTGGTAGGGGGCGGAGTTAAAGGTGGTTTCAAGTGAAAACATTTCTAGGTGGCTTTGATTAATGTCGGCCTAAACCTAATCGTCCTGTTTGTCTGTTTCAGTGCTAAACTATGAGAATGTTCTGGAGACGAGCTCAGAGACCGACGAGGACGACAGGACGCTGCTCTCTGAGGACAGCAGCCTCACTAATGGAGGGGGGGCAGGAAGAGGTGTGGACCATGATGAGGTGGGCAGTCCAGCCGGCATTCCGGCTCCGGAGGCATCACCCCGGGTTGCTCACGCTCTACTATCCTATCAGGAGGCATCTGAGAGGAAGGAGAACCAGAACCATTGCTGGAGGCTGGGAGACACAAACAGTCACCTAAACGGCTCAGGTGAGAGGAGGAGGAGGTGTTTCGCTCCTTTGAAGGCTGAATGTAGTGTGACTCCTGTTAAGAACGAACACAATGAGCCTCAGTTTTTAGTCCTTATGTAGGAAAGAGGAGGAAGAGGAGCAGGAGGAGCAGAAGCAGGAGAAGCAGGAGGAGAATAACAGTGGTTTCTGTGGTTTTCTCTCACAGAGGACAGGAAGGAGGAGTATGACTCTGTGGGTCTGGAGGTGTCGCTGCACTCTTCTGTGGGAAACTCAGCAGGTGAGATCATTTTGTGTCCCTGAACTCATCACGTGTGTGTTTCCTGATGTCCCTGAACTCATCACGTGTGTGTTTCCTGATGTCCCTGAACTCATCACGTGTGTTTCCTGATGTCCCTGAACTCATCACGTGTGTTTACTGACGTCCCTGAACCCATTACATGTGTGTTTCCCGTTGTCCCTGAACTCATCACCTGCGTGTTTCCTGATGTCCCTGAACTCATCACTTGTTGTTTCCCGATGTCCCTGAATTCATCACGTGTGTTTCCTGACGTCCCTAAACTCATCACGTCTTTCCTGATGTCCCTGAACCCATCACATGTGTGTTTCCTGATGTCCCTGAACCCATCACATGTGTGTTTCCTGATGTCCCTGAACTCATCACGTGTGTTTACTGATGTCCCTGAACTCATCACGTGTGTTTCCTGATGTCCCTGAACCCATCACATGTGTGTTTCCTGACGTCCCTGAACTCATCACCTGTGTTTTTTTTACCCAGTGAAACGACTGGAAGGCGTCACCGAGCTGGATGAGTACTTCCTGAAACGCAAGCTGGAGGACGGCGACGGTCACCCGGCAACCATCGCCGAGTACCTGCAGCGCAGCGACACCGCCATTATTTATCCAGAAGCCCCTGAGGAGGTGACACGACTGGGTACGCCAGAGGCCGTGGGACAGGACGAGAGTGAAAATGGTGAGAGGCGGAGCCATGAGGAGGCGGAGACAAACACCTGCCATTAAAATCTGTGAAAAACAAAGAGAAAACAGAATAACTGCTGACATAGATTTTATAATATGATTTATTTCACATCATGACATTTCTCATTATCTGACAGTTTTAATGCATTCATGAAAATGTTTGGTTTGATTTTTTTATTTTTTATTTTATTTAACCTTTATTTATCCAGGAAAGTCCCATTAAGATTATTTTCAAGGGAGTCCTGGCACTTATTTAAAGTTTTTAAATGGATTTAAAATGGATGGATTTAAAATGATTCGATCATGAAAAGTGTTAGAATGAAAACAGCCAATGAAAGGGTTAAAGATGTTTAGATCGAAATAACTACATGGACAACAGTTAGTTAAAATCAGGTGCTTAGCTTATTATTATAATAAGCTAAGCACCAAGCTAAGACCTGCATAGCTTATTATTATAACGTTGAGTGTTTGCATGTCTGGGTGTTTTTTATTTAATATCATGCTTAATGAACCCTAATGATTCCATTGTGACTTGTTGAAGCGTTATGGGAGCCCGTCTGAAGACATGAACCAAACAGCATGTTTAAATGATCATCTCTGGATGAGCTTAAGCTTTAGTTCTGTACAAGTTCAGGATGTTAATCATATTTAGTGACAATTATTCCTTTTGGGTTTCTATGTTCCTAACACCTCTCCTGGTCACCTTTCTGGAAATCAGCTCCTTATTGATGAATATTTCTTTGTGTCTGTGAAGTTTAGACCAATGGATGATCACAACAAGACCTCTGCTCCCTCCATCTCAGGTGCTTAAAGATGGAGTGAGTTTGGGCTAACTTACTGTTGACCTTTTGACCTCTGTGTGTAGACCTGATGTCGGGCACACCTGACGACTTCGCCCAGCTGCTCACCTGTCCATACTGCGACCGCGGGTACAAACGTCTGACGTCTCTGAAGGAGCACATCAAATATCGACATGAGAAGAATGAGGAGAGCTTCAGCTGCCCGCTGTGTGCTGACACCTTCAGCCACCGCACACAGCTCGAGCGCCACATGACCACACACAAACCTGCCCCGGAACAGGTATGACACACCTTCAAAATAGTAATAATAAATAATTTAATTTGATTCAGACATGAAACATGTTTCTGACACTCCATTCTCTTATTATATCTTTTACTCTTAAATCTCATAATGTACACAAACTACAAAGACCCTAAGTCAGATAAACTCCCTGACTGAAACTGTATTGTATCAGAAAACAGCACCAGGTGCCGCTGTAATGTGATTGGTTGAAATGAGCAGCGTGTAAACACGGCTCAGTGTAATAGAATAATTATAATGATGTTAAATGTTTCCTGCACACTTCTGCTCACCGTCGCTCGGCATCCATCAGATGAAACCAGCAGAGAACCAATTAAACAGTAACACCCTGATCATACCTGCCTCCCCCCTCTGCCCCCCCCCCCAAGCAGCAGATGGTCTGTTGTTGATCTAAAGAATCATAATCCTGTAAGGACCTTAAGTGCTTCATTATTCGTGTACTTCCTCTGAATTAAACTGTTAAAGAGAGACGAGCGGCTTCTAACCGACTGAGAGAAGAGGAACTAAATGTGTACCGTCATCAACACATACATACACTCACGCGCACACACACACACACACACACACACACACACACACACACACACACATACACACGGATAAACAAACACATGTACACACCAACACACACATAAACACACACACCACACAAATACACACACACACACACACACACACACACACACGTGTGTTTGTTTGTTTATCCGTGTGTGTGTGTGTGTGTGTGTGTGTGTGTGTGTGTACGTACGTGTGTGTGTGTACATGTGTGTGTGTGTGTGTTTGTTTATCCGTGTGTGTGTGTGTGTGTGTGTGTGTGTGTGTGTGTGTGTGTGTACGTACGTGTGTGTGTGTACATGTGTGTGTGTGTGTGTTTGTTTATCTGTGTATTTGCATCTCTAACAGGGACCGTACCTTCACACAGACTGTTACCTCGGCTCAGCCCACTCTGTTTTCTTTTTTCTGAAAACTCTTGGATTCCCCGTCCACTCCTCTTCGCTCTCTAATCTGCTCTGAGACTCCCACTCGTCCTCACTCGCCTCATCTCTCTTTTTGGTTTCTGCCTGCAGGCGCCACTGCTCGGCGAATCAGCTGGAAACCGAAAGTTTAAATGCAGCGAGTGTGGAAAAGCCTTCAAATACAAACACCACCTGAAGGAGCATCTCCGGATCCACAGCGGTGAGTCGCCCCCCCAACACGCCATCTGACACATCTTTATCACTCATAACCTCCCGATCCACTCATGACTCATGACTCAAAGTGTCGAGTCAGTCAACCTGTTTAAGACGAGTCAACTCTGAAGTGAAACAACAAAAAGGAATCCTGTTTGTTTCTGATGATTCCTTCTCTCACTCTCATGCTGTTACAGAGCGTGTTGTGAGATTAACATTAAAGAGTCTTTAATCTAACTAATCTATACCAACGTGTGAGGAAACATCCTCGACACAAAGGAAAGCTGTGAAGTGTTCAGCCTCAGAGAGCTCACTGATTGGCCCTGCAGGAAACCGCTCACGCTTCAGGCTGCTTCAAGGAAAGAATTATAAGAAAGAGACGCATGGAGGTTCACATTAAATCAACTTTATCTAAAAAGTTTCTTCAATTATTCTCACTTTCATTTGAAAAACTCATCCAAGCACAAAGACATTCTGAAAGAGGCAGGAAGCTGACTGATGATGTCATGAAAAATATTGATTCAGAAACTTAGAAAAACCACAACATTTAGCAGAACGCCAACGTTAGCAGTAAACACAAAGGGCAGCTGAGGCTGTCGTTGTTGTATTGGACGCATTAATATGATGACCTGATGGTGGCGCTGTGTGAACAGTGGAGGATCACCATGTTCAAATCTTAAAAAAAAACATTATCACTGTGGACCTCACTCTGTTCACTCTGTAAAAAATTTAGGAACAGAAATGACAGATCAAAACTCACTCGAACAAACCCTCTGCTATCGGGTCTGGGGGTTTTTCAAGATGGGAGAGAGGTAGGCTTGGGGCGACCCCATTAGTCCCCCCCCGTCAAACAAACTGGACTTTAGGGTTGAAGCGTGCTTGGGCACGGTACGGATGGACAGTGTGACCGCGCCCTTGAACACACACACATGCACGCACGCTCGCACGCACGCACACGCACACACACACAGACACACAAAGACACACATTTACACACACGCATGCACGCACGCACGCACACACACACACACACACACACACACACACTCACTCACACACACAAACACACACACACACACACACACACACACACACACACACACACACACACTCACACACACACACACTCACACACACACTTAGCCCCCTCGTTTCCGCTCTTTTTCGTTTATGCCGTCTTAAATGTTAACACATATTATCACATCACATAGTATTGTTCTTGCCCTGTACTTTCCTGCATCACTAAATAAAAAAATGTGAAACAATCAAATAAAAGATAATTATAAAAAAAAACCTGACTGTGAGCTGACTTCCTGTCTGTGTTTGAGAAAATCAAATAATGGATACCTGACGTTGTGTTACAGGTGAGAAGCCGTACGAGTGCTCCAACTGTAAGAAGAGGTTCTCTCACTCCGGCTCCTACAGCTCTCACATCAGCAGCAAGAAATGCATCGGCCTGATCGCCGTCAATGGACGAGTACGCAATGGAAACAACGGCAAGCCTGGCTCCTCCCCCAACTCCACCACCTCATCGCCTGGAAGCCCCACCCTTGCCCAGCTCCGCCACAAACTGGAGAATGGGCGACCGCTCTGCCCTCCGGATCAGCAGGGTCAGTTGGACATCAAGGCTGAGCCAATGGACTTCAACGAGTACCGTCTGCTGATGGCCTCCCACCATGGCTTTGGAGGACCAGGGGTCTATCTGAACAGCCGTGGTGGGAGTCCTATGGGCCTCCATAGCTCCTCCCACAGCCCTGTCCAACACCTGGGGGCCCTGGGCCTGGATTTCCCCATGCTGGGCTATGCAGGAGCTCTCGGGAACAACCTGAGTGAGGTGCAGAAGGTGCTGCAGATCGTGGACAACACAGTGAGCAGGCAGAAGATGGACGGGAGCCCAGAGGAGATTTCCAAGCTCCGAGCCTACATGAAGGAGCTGGGGGCCCAGATGGAGGAGCAGAAACTGGTCCAGGCCAGCTTTCAGGTGGGGGGCCACGGTAGCCCAACAAAGAGCATCATTGACTACACACTGGAGAAGGTCAACGAGGCCAAGAATCTGATTGATGATTCAAAGAGGCAGGCAGACATCAAGAAGCAGAAGCCCAACCACTCGATGGACCTCAATGAGGAGAAATCTCACAACGGACAAAACCACTTCCTGTTCACCTGTCAGTTCTGTAAGGAGACCTTCACCGGGCCCATCCCCCTGCATCAGCATGAGCGCTATCTGTGCAAAATGAATGAGGAGATCAAAGCAGTCCTTCAGCCTGCTGAGACAAGTCCTGCCAGCCTCAGGGGGGCGCTGTCCTCTGATCTGTCCAGTACTGACCGGGCCACCAGCCCCTTGAACCCCTTCAAAGACCACGTGTCCGTGCTTAAGGCCTACTTTGCCATGAACACAGAGCCCAACTCAGAGGAACTGCTCAAGATTTCCATCGCTGTAGGACTTCCCCAAGATTTTGTGAAGGAGTGGTTCACCCAGTGGAAGAACCATAACCAACATGGAGGCAGTCTCAGGAAAAGGTCGCCCCCTCCTGACCACAGCTTGAGCCGGTCTCCGATGTCACTTCCTGCCTTAGATTTACACAGAGGATTCACTAATGGACTCACAAAGACCAACATGTTTACATCCAACAGGCAGATGATGGGGGACAAACCAATGGAGACCCTAGACCACCTGAGGAGCGACACTCCATCACCCCTGAACCTCTCCTCGACCTCCTCCAAAACCTCTCAGAGCAGCTCGTACACTCCAAACAGCCTGGCCTCAGAGGAGGCCCACGGGGACACACCTCTGGATCTGTCTCTGCCTAAACACATGGCTCAGAGGCTTGTCTCATTGGGAGAGAAGAGGCCCCGCCCCAATGGCTTTCTCATCCAGCATAACAGCGAGGCACAGGGGCGAGAACAGGTGTCTGCACCATTAGATCTAGTTAACATCAAGAAGGAGGTCCTGGCTCCTGAGGGTGGAGGAAACTCTGCCCACCAGCTGGAGAAAAGCACCAGTCCCATCTTTGGGATTAACCCCTTCGCTGGCGGTCCAGTCTACACCTCTCTGCCCCCTCACGGAGCATTCCCACCTCCCAGCTTCATGTCTCCGGCCCAGGCCTCCATCCCCGGTCTCAGGTCCTACCCAGGGCTCGACCCCATGAGCTTCCTGCCCCACATGGCCTACACCTATGCCACCGGGGCGGCCACGTTCGCCGAATTGCAGCAGAGGAGGAAGTATCAACGGAAACCATGTTTCCAGGTAAAACTACTCAACAATCCAGATTATCTGTGAAACTAAGTACAAAGATTAAAAATGACAAAATGTCAAATGGACTTCTTTGGTTTATGTTTGTGCACGGCTGGCGAGCCGAGTTCCCAGGCTGCAGATTTGATTCCAACTTGTCACCTGGGTGATCATAGAACCCCAATCAGCTGGTCTGGTGATGACAACATGGTTTTATTAAGACCAGCAATAATATCTTTAGCCCTTTAGTGTGTTTTGTGAACCAGACAGCGTCTTCCAGACTTGTTTACAGTGGGGCATCCTTTTGTGAATCTGGCCAGAACCCTGATTGAGGTTTTTTAAGTGTTCCAAACATCTGATTGGCCTTCCCTTTAGTTCCTTCCTCTTTTTTTCTCAGAGTAGTATCCTTTATTTGGTGGTGTCTTTGGTTCACCTGGTGTAAGTGTTTATCTGCAGAGACAATCCCAACACTTCATCCCAAACCTCCCCTCCCCATATGTCCCCCCATTTTTTTGACGTGTCTCCTGGATGAAGGGGACTTACCCAGGTCGGGCCTTAAGCCCTGTCCAGACGTGGGATCATGGGGCAGTGGGGGGTGGGAGCAGAAGGTGTGTCTGGTGGGGAAGTCGACAGGTGTGGGATTATCAGGCGTACTGAAGCAATGTGTTTGTGTTTCAGGGGGATCTGCTGGACGGGACAGCGGACTATCTGTCAGGCCTGGACGACCTGACAGACAGCGATTCGCTGCTCTGCAGGAAGAAGATGAAGAAGACTGAAAGTGGTATGTACGCGTGTGACTTGTGCGACAAAACATTCCAGAAGACCAGTTCCCTCCTAAGACACAAATATGAGCACACAGGTATATATCACATTTGGACACTTCTTTTTACCCGGCCCCCGATGCTTCTGTCCCCCCTCCCCCTTTTTTTTAATATGTCTACACAATTTGGTTTCATGCTCTCCTTATTATCTTTATTTTATCACGTAGCCCCCCCCCCCTTCACTCGTAGTTTTTCTTTTCTCTGTTTTGTTCTCTGTAACCATGGCCTTAACGTGCTCCTTTCTTTTCAGCGGAGCGGGGGGGGGGGTTCATATGCAGGATTACATAAACAGTCAGCGCCCCACATTCACCAAACACTCCCATTCAGACAATGTGTGTGTGTGTGTGTGTGTGTGTGTGTGTGTGTGTGTTTGTGTGTCTCTGTGTGTGTGTCTCACTGTACTGAAGATCAAACAGAAATATTAATGACAGCAGAGATATGATCCATTTCTTCCATTTCTGATGTGAACACAAACAGTTTGTGAATAAATCAGCAAACATGGAGCAGTTCATCTCTCTGTCACAAACACACACACACACACACACACTATTTCAGTCTCTACTCCCCGGTGTTCACATGGAAACTGTTTTTCTTTTGTTCTGACTATTTTCTCCGACCTTAGCAGGAAACGGGAGACTCTGATTGGTCTCCACACATTTCACTGTAACCATGTTTGTTTTGATGTGATCGTCATGTGTGGAACAACACTCCGTAACTCAAGACCAGTGACACATCAGAAAAGTGACGCTCATGTTAAGATCAGTGCGAGGGTTACCATGAGCCATAGACGCATATTAAAGACGTTTTTAAAGGGAGCAGGGAGTCCGAGACGCAGAGACTTCTTCTAATTTTCAAAGGAGCACATGACACTGAAATGTGGTTGGATGTTTTATTTTGGGTAAAGCCGTAATTGCACAAATTATTACAACATGTTCATCTCCATCTGCATTTGATTGAATCTGAAACAGACAGGATAACTCAGCAGCTGAATTCAGCGTGGCGACGTAACGAACATCATTTTTAGGTCAAATCCTTTTGCATCATCTTTTGGGGAATTTCTTTTCCTGGAAGCAGATCAGTGCGACACAAATCTTTGTGATGCAACATGAGATAAAACCTGCTTTCAAATCAGACCAAACTACAATTTGTGTTTTTGTCAATGGAGTTTGGTACAAACAGAACCAACTGACCTTTGACCTCCATCCTTTCACTGTGATGGAAACGTCTGCAGAATCAACCTGCTGTTGATTTGACGTTCCCATCCTGGCGCTGCTCGTTAATGAACATCTTGTTTCAGCGTTGTTGTCTCTTGACGGTCTTTTGTTGGCGGATCCTTCCAGAATTCATTGAAACTAAATATTGTGTTTGTGAGATTTGGAACAGAACTGAACTTTGACCTCTGCTTTTCCAGATAAACCCCAGGCAGACTTTAAGTCTCTCTGAAGACGTTGGTGTATTTGTTGACAGATTCATTAAGCGTCTTACTGTAGGCGTGTTCTGAACCGTAACACATAAACCTGCCGTTTAAAGCGGAGTGTTTTTCCAATGAGGTTTGGTGCAGAGAACACGCTGATGGTTTTACCTGAGACCTGCTCTACACCTTCATCGCTTTCACTCTGTTGCATCATGTCCCAGCCGTCGCTCCCAGCCCCAATCCGACGTCTCGGTTATTTTTGCCACACTGGTGGTGTGCGTGTGTGTGTGTGTGTGTGTGTGTGTGTGTGTGTGTTACAGAAAACTATGTCAGCTATGGTGAATGTTTCAGGCGTTCCAGGTCTATTTGTGGCCACGATCTCCCTGCATGTGTGTGTGTGTGTGTGTGTGTCTGTGTGCGTGGGTCGTGTGTTTGGACGGCATTCAGTCTGTGTGTTGGCAGCAGAGAGAAGCTTCCTGTTCAGTCAGATGGAAAAAAATTCAGCTCTATGGAGTCGTAGTAAACCAAAGTGTGTGTGTGTGTGTGTGTGTGTGTGTGTGTGTGTGTGTGTGTGTGTGTGTGTGTGTGTGTGTGTATCAGGTGGAGGTGTTAAGGCTCCTCGTCATGTTTAAATCAGGCGCTGTGATGTCATTGTTCGCCGCAGGTTCACGTTGCTTGCGGCGTCTCCGGCATCTCATCTCGTTTCACCGTCACCACGGCAACAGACGGACAGAGAAAGTGACCAGAGTCTTATTTTGGCGCTAACAGGCTGACCATGAGAGGGCAGAGTTTTAAAGTTTAAAGTTCAGAACAGTTAAAACATTTAAAACAGAGTCATCATGTAAGTCTGAAACAAACCAACCAATCACATCAGGCAAAATAACAGCCAATCAGCTGAGACATTAAGGCTGTGAATTTTTTTTTTTTTTAAACTCAGTGAATTGTCTTGATGAATAGTTGAGTATCTGAAGGTCAGCCTGTGAAACATGGAGGGATGTCTTTATATTTACCTGAATCTCTTAATCGAACTGAAACTTGAACGACGGTTTCATTATTGTATTCTTCTAAATCAGAACCTATGAAGGAATACAGAAAACTAAGAATGATGTCATCACTTCTTGTGATCATTGTAATAACTTCCTGTGATCATTATAATAACTTCCTGTGATCATTATGATTTCTTCCTGTGATCATTGTGATTACTTCCTTTGTCATTCAGAATGAAGAGAGACTTTTATAAAAAAAAAAACATAAATAAACCGTCCCTAAACAGGTGCTCTAACTCTCTCTGGTGTCTCTGACGAGTCTCTCCCTGTCTCTGGTATCTCTAACGTGTCTCTAATGTCTCTGGTGTCTCTGACGAGTCTCTCCCTGTCTCTGGTATCTCTAACGTCTCTCTAATGTCTCTGGTGTCTCTGATGGGTCTCTTCCTGTCCCTGGTGTCTCTCCCTGTCTCAGTTGTCTCTGATGTGTCTCTCTCTGTCTCTGGTGTCTCTGATGGGTCTCTTCCTGTCCCTGGTGTCTCTCCCTTTCTCTGGTGTGTCTGATGTTGTCTCTCCCTGTCTCTGGTGTCTTTCACTGTCTATGATGCGGTCTCTCCCTGTCTCTGTAGTGTCTGATGTCTCTGGTGTCTCTGATGTCTCTGGTGTCTTTGGTGTCTCTCCCTGTCTCTGATGTCTCTGGTGTCTCTCCCTGTCTCTGTTGTCTCTGGTGTCTCTCCCTGTCTCTGATGTGTCTCTGGTGTCTCTGATGTCTCTTGTGTGTCTGATGTCTCTGGTGTGTCTGATGTCTCTGATGTCTCTGATGTCTCTGATGTGTCTGATGTCTCTGGTGTCTCTCCCTGTCTCTGATGTCTCTGGTGTGTCTGATGTCTCTGGTGTGTCTGATGTGTCTGATGTCTCTGATGTGTCTGATGTCTCTGGTGTGTCTGATGTGTCTGATGTCTCTGGTGTGTCTGATGTCTCTGATGTGTCTGATGTCTCTGGTGTCTCTCCCTGTCTCTGATGTCTCTGGTGTGTCTGATGTCTCTGGTGTGTCTGATGTCTCTGGTGTCTCTCCCTGTCTCTGATGTCTCTGGTGTGTCTGATGTCTCTGGTGTGTCTGATGTGTCTGATGTCTCTGATGTGTCTGATGTCTCTGGTGTGTCTGATGTGTCTGATGTCTCTGGTGTGTCTGATGTGTCTGATGTCTCTGATGTGTCTGATGTCTCTGGTGTGTCTGATGTGTCTGATGTCTCTGGTGTCTCTGATGTGTCTGATGTGTCTGATGTCTCTGATGTGTCTGATGTCTCTGGTGTGTCTGATGTCTCTGGTGTCTCTGATGTGTCTGATGTCTCTGATGTGTCTGATGTCTCTTGTGTGTCTGATGTGTCTGATGTCTCTGGTGTGTCTGATGTGTCTGATGTCTCTGATGTGTCTGATGTCTCTGGTGTGTCTGATGTGTCTGATGTCTCTGGTGTCTCTGATGTGTCTGATGTCTCTGGTGTGTCTGATGTCTCTGGTGTGTCTGATGTGTCTGATGTCTCTGATGTGTCTGATGTCTCTGGTGTGTCTGATGTGTCTGATGTCTCTGGTGTCTCTGATGTGTCTGATGTCTCTGGTGTGTCTGATGTCTCTGGTGTGTCTGATGTGTCTGATGTCTCTGATGTGTCTGATGTCTCTGGTGTGTCTGATGTCTCTGGTGTCTCTGATGTGTCTGATGTCTCTGATGTGTCTGATGTCTCTTGTGTGTCTGATGTGTCTGATGTCTCTGGTGTCTCTGATGTGTCTGATGTCTCTGATGTCTCTGGTGTGTCTGATGAGTCTCTGATGTCTCTGGTGTGTCTGGTGTCTCTGAAGTGTCTGATGAATCTCTGATGTCTCTGGTGTCTCTGATGTCTCTGATGTGTCTGATGAGTCTCTGATGTCTCTGATGTTGTTTCTCCCTGTCTCTGGTGTCTTTCACTGTCTATGATGCAGTCTCTCCCTGTCTCTGGTGTCTTTCACTGTCTATGATGCGGTCTCTCCCTGTCTCTGAAGTGTCTGATGTCTCTGGTGTCTCTGATGTCTCTGGTGTCTCTCCCTGTCTCTGGTATCTCTCCCTGTCTCTGTTGTCTTTGATGAGTCTCTGGTGTCTCTCCCTGTCTCTGATGTGTCTCTGATGTCTCTGATGTGTCTCTGATGTCTCTGGTGTGTCTGATGTCTCTGATGTCTCTGGTGTCTCTGATGTCTCTGGTGTCTCTGATGTCTCTGGTGTGTCTGATGTCTCTGAAGTGTCTGATGTCTCTGGTGTGTCTGATGTCTCTGATGTCTCTGATGTGTCTGATGTGTCTGATGTCTCTGGTGTCTCTGATGTCTCTGGTGTGTCTGATGTGTCTGATGTCTCTGGTGTCTCTGATGTCTCTGATGTCTCTGGTGTGTCTGGTGTCTCTGATGTGTCTGATGAGTCTCTGATGTCTCTGGTGTCTCTGATGTCTTTCACTGTCTATGATGTTGTCTCTCCCTGTCTCTGGTGTCTTTCACTGTCTATGATGTTGTCTCTCCCTGTCTCTGGTGTCTTTCACTGTCTATGATGTTGTCTCTCCCTGTCTCTGAAGTGTCTGGTGTCTTTGGTGTCTCTCCCTGTCTCTGGTGTGTCTGATGTCTGATGTGATGTGTCTGATGTCTCTGATGTGTCTGATGTGTCTGATGTCTCTGATGTGTCTGATGTCTCTGGTGTCTCTGATGTGTCTGATGTGTCTCTGGTGTCTCTGATGTTTCTGATGTCTCTGATGTCTCTGGTGTCTCTGATGTGTCTGATGTGTCTGATGTCTCTGATGTGTCTGATGTCTCTGATGTGTCTGATGTCTCTGGTGTGTCTGATGTCTCTGGTGTCTCTGATGCGTCTGATGTGTCTCTGGTGTCTCTGATGTTTCTGATGTCTCTGATGTCTCTGGTGTCTCTGATGTGTCTCTGATGAGTCTCTCCCTGTCTTTTGTGTCTCCACAGGTAAGCGTCCCCATCAGTGTCAGATCTGTAAGAAGGCTTTCAAACACAAACATCACCTGATCGAACATTCACGTCTGCACTCGGGAGAGAAACCGTACCAGTGTGACAAGTGTGGGAAAAGATTCTCACATTCGGGCTCGTACTCACAGCACATGAACCACAGATACTCCTACTGCAAGAGGGAGGCGGAGGAGCGCGAGGCTGCCGAGAGGGAGGCCCGGGACAAGGGGGGAGGAGCAGGAGAACCAGAAGGAGGAGGAGGAGGCATGGAGCCCACAGAGCTGCTGATGAGAAGGGCTTACCTGCAAGGGCTCGCGCCGCTCGGGTACTCAGACCTTGAAGACCAGCAGGAGAATGGTACCATCCTGAGGGACAGCAGAGAGGGAGGAGGAGGACCAGGGGAGGAGAGAGAGCTGGAGGAGGTGACAGACAGACAAGAGGCAAGTTTGAGGGAAAGAGAGGAGGAAGAGGATGAGGAGGAGGGAGGCGACAGCATGAGGCAGATGGACTCCACGATGGATGAGAAGGTCAAAGACACGATGCGGCTGATGGACGAGAGTTTAGGAGGGAAGACCGACGGACGGCCGGAGGACGAATGATCAGTCAGAGAGGACAGATCAGAGACCTCTGATTGGCTGGCTTACTCGGACAGAGGAGACTTTTTTAAAAGGACTGTACACTTATTATCGGGGGGAGGGGGAGGGGTACAAATCAAACAATATTGACCTGTTTGACACCACAGAAACAACAACAGAAGTCCTAGACATCATGTGATTTATTGTCTGTAATTAAAAAAGGTGCAGCAAACTCCTGCACACGGTCTAAATTGTAGAAAAAGGTTGTGACGAGAGGGAGGGGCTGTAGAGGAGCGAGGGAAACTGTCAGCAGGTACGGAGACACGGAGAGACTCTGAGCCCTGATATGTTACAGAGTGCAGACGTCTTTACGTCTTATGCCCCCCACCCCCCAGATGATTTGGGTACAGTCCATGTGAGCGGAGGTGAAACTCGATGGCGGCCGACATCCCGTCATGAAGCTGGGTGGGATTGTTTAAAAATCCACATTATGCAAAAAAAAAAAAAGAAGAATAAATAAAGAAGTAATAATGATGCTCCTTGTAATGGAGCTGTGTTTAATGTACAGTATTATAAAGGCCTGAAAGCTGTGTGGTGCTATCATGTTCTTCACTTCCTGCGTCCGTGTGTTCCAAGACCCTCGTCAACATAATTGCACTTGACCCCCAAATCACTACGAACAAAAAAAGAGTTAAAAAAATAATGAAGAGGGGAGGACTCGGTGGCTTCCTGTCAGTGTTATTGTCGTGTTTGTGTCTCCTATCACTGTGACCTCTTTTGATTTGTCCTGTCCCATTCTACCTGCGGAGCGACCACACGGCGTTGGGCCTGGTGATGTTGGTCCTCTGTGAAGGAACATTTCTACATGTGATCTTTGATGAACGTGGACGAGAGTCTTAACGAGAGTACGAGGAATAAGGACAGAGCCTTTGTGTGTTCTCAAGAGAAAGCCTTATATGCAAACCTCTCACCTGTGCGTTTCTTAAAGTGCCATCCCTGTACAGTGATCACCTGTCCTCTGCTTCACTGTAAAGAACACCTTGTTTCACCTGTCAGTATTAGCTTATTAGCTCTCTGCTAGTTTACATCTGTTTGTGCACTTTTCACTATTTCCTCTTCCATGACAGTATTACTTTTTTGTTTTGTTGAATTTTCCAACACAAATGTCATTTTTTGTTCTTATTTGAGAATTGAGCGTTTTATTTATGTGACTCATTTTATATTTCTTAACTTTATTTATTTCATACTGTAGTGTACCATGTTAGACTTCCTGTCACTTAGTCCATGTTAGTGAAATGATTCTGTCACTAAACGAGCTAAACTATGAACACATGGCGACACCATCAGCTAAAGACTTTTTCATTTTCTGCTTTTCATTTGAAACTTCTGGAAAATTCAAAATTTAGGAAACTTTTGATACGATCCATGTTGTGAAACACGTGAAGAATCTGTTTTATTTACCCCGATGAAGAGCTGAGGATGATGATGGTGGAGATGATGGTGATGAAGATGATGATGATGATGATGATGATGATGATGAAGATGGTGGAGATGATGGTGATGGTGATGATGATGATGGTGATGAAGATGATGAAGGAATTCCTAAAATGTCTGAAGTATTATTATTGAATTTTTAATTTCGTGTTGAAATGACAATGCTCGAATAAATGTAGCCAAAATTAAATTTTAATAAACTGTGTAATTCTTCTTGTGACCCGTTTCCTTCATTTACACACACTCACTGATGAAGATGAATACATTAAAAGACAGAAGGAGGTACATCATGAAAGCAGCTCAGTGTTTAAATAAACCAAAAGAATAAGCATCAGATATAATCACACGCCGCCCCTCATACGAGACGTAGCTTAAGAGAAACAACCAATAAGGACGAAACACAAACAGGGTCATGCGATGGCGTCTTTAAACCATGCAGGAGTCAGCTGGATGTTCACCAGGCAGCTCCAAATACAAACAGCTGACTGAAAGCTTTTTTAGCTAGCAGGAAGAACAACCGCTGACTTAGTGGTTCTCCTCGTCTTTGAGCGCAGCGGCGCTAACTATCTGTTTACTGTTATAGCTTCAGCAACAACTACAAATCAGTCTGTACAGTTAGATTTATTACCTGAAAGAAGCAGAACATCAAGACTATATGTGTGGTGTTATAGTGAATATATTTACATACATTTCAAACTTCTATGAAACCTTTAAACTTCTATGCACCAATCAGGAGTGACTCTCTGAAACTCATCGTTTCCTGTTATTCAACGACAATAAAGGAAATATTAACGTGTCTAGGCCTACAGCTAATGCTAATGCTAATATGTCTAATGCTAGTAATGCTACAGCTTTTTAAAGATCTTTACAGTAAATACAACTACGGCTACTGCTAACATTGCTAATGCTAGTAATGGTCACACCTGTGTGTACTGTTGCTTAGCCCTGTAATGCTAATAGGCTACTACTGCTAGCTTATTCTTGTTTTGACAGCTCACACAGGTGCTGTCTGCTCTCTGACTAACTCCGTGATCACTTCCTTGAGTTCATACATTCAGACTCTTTATGAAATAACGCGTGTTGAATCAGAACTACAGCAGAGACTCACAGTCACTGTGTACACTGCTCCAATGGATGCTAATGAAAACAGGTGAAAAGTGTAAAGGCTGGTGGTGTTATAGAGGACGACACCATCAGTCCTCAGATCATCCTGCAGCAGGGATTCTGTTTGTAGTATTTATTCTATCAGTCCAATAAAAACAACAAGACAACAAGAACAGTTCGTGCTAATGCACTGCTAATGCTGCAATCAATCAACCAAATCCACTATGGAAAAAAGGAAAGGGATTTTTACTTCTGGAACCACATGTTTGAGCCCTATAGTCTGTGAGACACAATGCATTGTGGGACGGTTTAGTATAAGCAGTGTGCTCTCATTTCATACACATTTTGGCCGATCTAGAAAATCGAATTTCTCAGATAGGCCTAAAAAAAACTTTGGATAGGATCATACTAGAGTGACTAAGTATGAATGCTAACACTAAAGGTGCTAGCTGCTGATATCACTGCTGTAACACAAAGACTAAAACACAGCACAGTCTCAGTGATGTCTCTTAACTACGGTGGCTGGGAAGTGTAAAGCAAAATTACAATGTGAGACAAATTTACATTTTGAAAAACACATTCACAAGATGTGAAACACTTTTACAATCGATGAGACAAATTTACAAACGACAGAATCTTGACAAAATGGGAATGTACCGAATGTCGGAAGTGACCTGGAAGTGATCGAGTGAGGGGTCATTTTGCTTGTTTTGTTTTGTCACGGTACGATCCCATTCCGTCAAGATTCTGTCGTTTGTAAATTTGTTTGGGGACTGGTAGAAGTGTTCTGCCTCTTGTAAATTTGTCTCAGCGATTGTAAAAGTGTTTCACATCTTGTAAATTTGTTTTGTCCTTTTTGGTTTTGTAATTTTGTTTCATAAAATGTAAAAATGTTTTTCGAAATGTAAATTTGTAACACATTTTGTAAAAGTGTTTAAAACTTTGTAATTTTGCTTTGCACATCCCAGCCACCGTACTTAACTGTTTAAACTTCTTCTAAATCAGACAACCTTAATATAACGTATTTATCCACGTATTATTTAAGTATGCTACCAGTGTTCACAGAGGAGGAGGCGGGACAAGGACCTCCCGACGTGATGACGCAGTATACTGTGCGTCAGCTGTGAACTGGCGCCGGGAAGATGCAGTCAGAGGTGAGTGTCCCACTGCTGTGAATGAACCGTCTCTGTGAGGGAACCCGGGCCGCCGTTTGTCCCCCACGGCGGCCACGGGTTTCCGGGTTAATACTGAGAATGGCCGGGACAGTTACCGGCTGAGAGATGAGAGTACGGAGGTTGTTAACGGGGAAAAGCTGGCGGTGTGTTTGCCTAACAGAGCTAACAGAGCTAACATGAGCTATCGGTGGTCCCAGTCTCTGGGCTGGGACGTCGGTCTTCTCTGCTTCTCACGCGTTTTCAGTTCGTAAAGTGTGGGTGTTGTAACAACAACAACAAAGAGTGTGGAAGCTACGAGAAGAAGAAGATGAAGAAGAAGAAGTGTGTCTCTGTTAACAGTTGTTTTTTGAGCTAAGAGTTGATGTGCAAAACGTGAAATCATAAAAAGTATCTTAACATCCGCAAAACATCTTTAGCCCCTCCCCATGTTGATGATGAATATGACGTCACGTCAACAAGTCTGGCACCTCATTCTTTCTGACAGCTGTTCTGTTCATGTAAACAGAGCGGGGCTGATGGGGACTTTAAATGGACTGTGTTTGATTGACAGCTGTGACGTGTCTTCTATTTGAAATGCTGTGTGTGTTTAACATTCAGAACAGCCCAGCTTTCTGTTTATCACTCAATCGCAGGTTTAGTCATCAGTCACTAAACATCAACAGACAGATCTACTGTCATGTCACTTGACGATGAGCAGCGGTCACATTTAGACGCTTTAAACCCTCACAGAGTGATAAAGTGAGGTGTGCTGCCGGACTGTTTCACAGAGAATCTGAAGCAGCGGTGCCTGAACACAGGTTATGAACTACTAAATATAGTCTATCAGTGATGTGAATCAGAGGAGATTTAGAAGTGTGTTTACTCTGTGGAGACTGAACAATGAGCGTGTTTACTCTGTTTACCTGCGCTGATCTAAAGCGTTAGAACCCAGGCCGCCTGCTTGGAGGACTGCAGCCTCTCTATGTGGGGCCACCTGTCCGTTAGGCCATCAGGCCGCTGATTTTTCTTATTATCAGGAGGTTAAGATTACATAAAAACATTTCCAGCCTCACACTTCAATAGATCTATAACAGACTGTATCGTTTAAAGACTGGTAACCGTACCGTGGGCCTGTAAACGGCGTGCAGCGTGGGCTGACATTAAAGGGATACTTCATGTGTTTGATCGTGGGGGTTGGTCTCAGGTACACTGACTCATCAGTTCGGCTGTATTAACCCCTTGTGCCTGGCCCGCTCACAGGGGACCCCCCCTCCCCTCGGGGAAATCATTGACATTAACCCTTCGTCTCCTGTTCCTCAGTGTCAGCTTCAGTGGGCAGGAAGGTGTGAAGGTGAGATGAGTGTGTGGAATCCCCCGACGTGGCTTTCTCAGGAAGTGTGTGTGTGTGTGTGTGTGTGTGTGTGTGTGTGTGTGTGTGTGTGTGTGTGTGTGTGTGTGTGTGTGTGTGTGTGTGTGTGTGTGTGTGTGTGTGTGTGTGTGTGTGTGTGTGTGTGTGTGTGTGTGTGTGTGTGTGTGTGTGTGTGTGTGTGTGTGTGTGTGTGTGTGTGTGTGTGTGTGTGTGTGTGTGTCTCTGTGTGTCTCTGTGTGTCTCTGTCGGTCACACTCTAACCCTTTTCACACATACGGAAACCTCCTGAAAAACTCTGGAGATTAGTCTACCAGGGGCCTGTACTACGGAGCAGGATTTGGGGATAGTGAGGTAACTTCAGGGTTAACCATGGGTATTCAATCCTATGAAGATCGTTCACTTCTTACCTGGGTATATCGCCATGGTAACTTTTGCTGCACGCCTAACCTGCTCCGGAAAAGGTTATGTTCGAGATATGAGATCAACCTGTGGAAATCTCAGCACACTGACCAATCAGATCTTTTGATGGTGGAGCTCCCGCAGCTGATGGAGATGGGGGAGGAGGGAGCAAGACCCTTCACGTGTCCCGTATAATAACATTATAGTCCATAAAGTGAATGATTATTTTAATTGATATCATCCTTAATCCTTCAACAGAGACTAAAAAAAGCACCGGAGCCGTTGAGTTGTGTTTCCAAGATGTTCATTTTTGAATATCTTCTTATGTATTTGAATGATATTTTCATATGAATGTTTAGTGTCTTCATGCCGCTCTGTTTGTTATCATCAGAGCTGAAATATAACTTCTCAAACTGTTATACTCTCCACATGAAAGAGTCAGAGACACATCCATTTCAGTGAACAAACAGGAGTTATTATTCTGTTCTAAGGTGAACTAACGATGGGACTGAAATATAATAATCTGTAGTTTGGACATTAATACTCTCTGATGTTTCTTTTTTCTGCCAGTTGTTCTTCCTGCATTTGTTCCTGCAGCTGTGTAACTTTAGTCTCTGGGAACCTGTTTGTCTTAAACGTCTTTATATTAATATAGTTTGTTAGATATGACGGTCTGCTGACAGGAGACGCAGTTATGCTTGTGATAGGTTATATGAAGCTAACTCCGCCCCTTTTATGTGAATGCGCTCTTGGAAACTCGGGGGTAATTTATCAGGTTGATAACCGGCTTCGTATGACTGTTAATCACGCTCTCTGATGTTAGGGTTAGTGTAGTCAGATAACCCAAAAATACCCTGGGTATGTTAATCTCACTTTGTAGTACAGACCCCAGGAGGGGCTTTCGGCTATATGTGAACACAAACAGCCGAATGTTTCTCTCTGACTTCACCCGGAGTTTCTCCTCCAGACCTCTCATATTTTTTCCGCAGAAAGTCAGAGTGAGCTGATGTGAGAACGCGGCAGCATATACTCCGGAGAATTCACCTCGAGCCATTAGGAAGAGAATGACGTTTATATACAGTGACTGACTAGTGTCTGCATGCGACCACTACGATCTCCGTGCTCTAATGAACCTGCTGCATTCTGTTTCTTCTTCCTCAGTATGTTGTTCTCTGCTCTTTTGTGGA